CGGTCACTGTCAATACCGGTGCGACGCTACGTGTATACTTGAATAGATTACCGAGGATGAATGGCCACTTATTCCCATGTTGCTAAATGGGTTGCGCAAACTTCATCTGTTTTGCAGCTTTTTTTTTAATTAAGAGCTTCTCATTGATCGTCGTATGCGGCTCATCATCTATCAAGAAACGCTGCGTGCAGTGTTTCGAAGTATACGCGGACGAAGGCTCGCATCTAAGAACTTATATATAGCGGGTCCATTAGCCTTCGAATCGGAGATTGCCGTTTTGTTAAGCACGAATCAAGAAATTCTATCGGATAACTTAACCCACATTCCCGAATACGTCTTATTCTGACGCCCTCGTGCCTGCCTAACTTACATGAATGCAAAGCGTTGCGAAGGCGCGCGTTCGCCTTGTCACGTTTTGGCTGGTTACCGGCACAGTGTTGCTTCATACGCACGTGCTGTAGTACAAAACGAGATGCGCAATTAAAGTACGTGTCTCTACTGTGGTCTACTGGTTGCGCTGTAGTGCAAAATCCGCAAGCGTCGTTGCAGTGACCGTACCTAAGTCCGAACGGTACTCTTCAACCCCCTCACCTCTTGCGCGCGCGCGCGCTGTGTGTGTGTGTGGGGGGGGGGGGGGGGGGTATGCGTGTGTGTGTGTGTGTGTGTGTGTGTGTGTGTGTGTGTGTGTGTGCGCGTGCGCGCGCACACCATTGGTGTTGCAACGATTGGCGCTTTTCGCGTCCCTTTTACTCGTTGCGGTGGTTTCCAGCTAGAAAATTGCCACTGCCCGGTACGATGTTACGGTGTGCTTGCCCGTGCGTTCATATCCGTTTGCGTCAGGGTGTGTGGCGACGCTGTTATCTTCTCGCCGCCGCTATATGCAGAAACCGCGGTTTCCTCACCTCCCAAAGAATTGCTACTTGCGTTTTCTTCTTCATCTCCACGCGCCGTCATATATCCACACTGTTTTCTTTTCTTTATCTCTTGCTTTATCTTCTTTTTGTTTTTCTGTTGCGTTGTTTCTGTGCCTTCCCCCTGCGACGCGCAAAGCAGTTGCTGCGTGTGCGTGGTCCGCGCGTTGTGCATTTCCACTAAATGTTTCTCTTCTCCTTATCTCGCAATTATTTCTTTTTAACTGCTGTCGCGTGGCCCTTGCTTTTTGGTCCCGAGTACGTGCCGCTTGCAATCTGCGCAAACGGCTTCTTCTTATCTCTACGCGACCGGACAATTAGTTCTGCGTGCCTAGGTGGAGCATTTTTCTCGTGTTGTTTTTCACCCCTCATTTGCTTCTTCGTCTCCTGTGCGCTTGGTCACTTGTGCACACCGACGCGACAAAAGTGTAGGGCTGCCGTACGCTACAGTCCCTCCTTCTTTCATCCCGTTCCCGTATTCGTCCGCAATTATAATTACGATAATTAATCGCCGCATGGCGGCGAACTGCCGTTTACAGGGAAGTAGTCCTGCAAATCTCAAAACTTCATCGATTCTCTGAAGAGGTGCCTGTATAAATATAATTCAATGTGCTGTGTTCATCTCCGAGCATTTCTGGCGCGCTGAGTTTGTGAAGAGATATGTGGGTGTGCTCGCGCGCTTTCTTCTTTGCTGCCTTTGACTGAAGAGAGGTGTGTGTGTGTGCGCGCGTGTGTGTGTGTGTGTGTGTGTGTGTGTGTGTGTGTGTGTGTGTGTGTGTGTGTGTGTGTGTGTGTGTGTGTGTGTGTGTGTGTGTGTGTGTTGCGTGTGTGTGTTTGCGTGTGCTTATGTCCTTATTTGCTGTACCAGAAACAACGCAGACAAAAAGAACATACCTACTACGAAGCAGTGTTGGTTGATTTGCTGGAATCGCATGTACTTTCTTCTTGTTACGGTGTGGTTGTCAATAATATTGGTTGATTGGGTTTAATTTGTGCTCCTGTTGGTACCTTAAGGCGTGAAAGTGTTGGAGAAGCGTTTAGGCAACAAACAGAAGCAATTCCGGTGCTTGTATAAAGTAGATACATTTCTGGTGAAATTTGTGTCGTGTCGAGGATCGACGTAAAGGGTGTCAACTACCGCTGTTATCTATCCGGAAATTTGCCGTAGAAGTGATGTAAACGCACGTTTAGGCGTTATTGTCAGAGTCGTTTCGTCGCAATAAACACTTGGGACGAAGTCTGCGAACTTTATTTTGTGCATGTGTGCTGCTCGTTTTTTTTTTTTTTTGGCAAGCACACTTCCCCACAAGGAGATCCGTGCGCAGGAAAAGCCAGCTTGCTAAGGTCATTTGCGTGTCTCCTCAAACGGCCGCTGGGCGGCTTCCATTATCCAGTCCGTCACTGACGTTCCCGGACAGCCTTAGGCGACGCATTCAAACAATAGGCGTGGCGTACGCTTTCGCTTGAGCAACGCTCATTGGCTGAAGGCGGTGCCTACAGCCAGCGAGCGTTGCCCGGCGACGCCGTAGCAAGAACCTTCAAAAGCCAAAAAAAAAAAAAAGAAATACAAAGGACAGCGACGCTTTTCCGACTCGCCATGATGTCATAGTTTTTGACGATATCTGCGAGGGCCTGCCTGACCCTTTCTCGCTAAAATTTAGACTGCATTATAAGATAGTTGGAGACATACCATAACAAGAATAAGAAAATTTCGTGGTACTAGTTTGAACAAAATGCAAAAGAACATGGAGACTGAAGTTCATGACACCATGCTGACATCGGGATCTGAAGTTTTAATCTAAAATTCAAAACAGTGAAATTCTTTTATAACCTTTTATAACTGCAATGTAATGTACTGAGGTATGTTGTGATTTCATCCCAACAACTGCACTGTACAGCTGACATGGTAAAAAGCTGTGCATCACCTTGGTGCACCAATACCCAACAGCATTGTAGAAGGAATGTATGGGACAGTATAACACAGGCATCTCGACTGCGAAGTATCACTACTGCGAAGTATGCTGGAGCGATACTTCGCAGTAGTGGCAAAATGTGGGTTCGACGGAAAATTAGTTCCTTGTCAATTTTATACCTCTGTCATATGGGTGTTTGGAAAATGATCCAATCGTTAGTCTGTTGACTCAGTGGTGAAGCGTAGGCTGCAACATGGGACATTTCGAAGGCCCTCAAGCCAATAGCTCATCGAGTCAATGGGCGATCCCACGACTTCATCAACACCCCTACAAAAGTGAAAGCAGCCTCAACATGCTCTTTCATTAACATTGTATGATTAGAAAATACTCTTGCATGATTAGAAAAAAAAATTAACCAGAATGCTTGAAAACCAGTATATGTGAGTGTTATGAATCATTTAATAGAGTATTTTTACCTCTTTAAATATGTGAACTGCTCATACTTTCGACGACAGCAATGGGCTTGGCATCATTGTGCCGTCTCGGGGGGGGGGGGGGGGATGGAAGTGGTATCGCCCACTGAAGTTTCTCAGTTCAACAGCTTGAAGGCTAAATAGGCATTCATAATTTTGAATCGATAATGTATTGAAATATTTAAACATTGACAGACATGCTTGGGTTTTTAAGTGAATTTGTGTGATTTTTAACTGTTACAAGCTGCCACTCTAGCGTCGCCAGCGCGAAGTCGGCGACGGGAATGACAGCAGGTTGGTTCGTTCCGTACGCAAGCAGAGACAGTGAAGAGATCAGAGACGTGAGAAAACAAAACAAACTTTACTCTAGTGATATTGCAGCACACGGGATCTAATACAACACTTCAATACAACTAACAAAATACATCAACACTTGATACAACTAAAAAATACATATAAAAACAATAAATCAGCTTACGTGAGATAACTATTACAAACTACACAAACTAACCACAATAGAACTACGGAGGAGAAAGTTCGAAGATATAAACAGGTGAACGCATACGTGTGATGACCGGCAGCGTTGCGTCCCCGACGGTCGGATGCGAGAAGTCGAAGAGAGTTCTGGCACGACTGCGATGTCGGCGGTGTTGCAACGCTGGTGGCTCCGGGAGGCTAGTGCTTGCAGGTGACTTCGAGCAGGTTGAGCTAACTCGAGGCGAAGTCCCGATGTCTACGTTGCAGACGTTACTATCGCGTCACAACTAGACGAACAACTAAGTTTAGGTGGCCAGCCGATACAGAGCCACACTAAAAACTTCTAGAAGAGATGCTTGTTGATCTGTTTCTACACCATGTTGGTCAGCGACTAGTCTGCCTAGCAGGGCAAAATCCTGCGCTTAAATCCCCCTTGTGTCTCTTCGCTCTCTTCCTTGGGGACAAGAGACCTCTACGTGGGTCCAATCATGTGCGTTTAATTGATGGAAACTGCGCCCCCAAAAATATTTTGACCCCACCCCTTTATTGGGAGAGGGCCCTCAGCTAGCGAGAGTGACAACCTCTCGGGTTGTTGTCATACGGCTTGGCCACCAGAGCGTTTCCCACGCTTTTCCCCGTGGGAACGGTCAACTGTTTGGCTCTCAGCCGGTGCGTCTCGTAGTCTAATCCTTGTTCGGGGTATACCGCGGCCTTCTACGACCTTGCAGACGCCGCCGCAGTTACAAAAGGATCAACCTTCGGCGGCGACGTTCTAAGAAGAGCGCTTCATTCTGCCCTTCTCGGCTCCCTTTCATGCGCCCGCCGTTCTCACGTTCAGTGGGGGAGTACGGCGCCCGTTGATTGCCGTGACGCGGTGTCGACAAAAATGGCCGTCCGTGACATTAACCTATGGCGACATGAATACGAATATAAAGATTGGTAGTGCCGCACAATTTTTGTGAGAAATGCCTGAACCACTCAACTGCCATTTAAAGCTACCGTGTAGCCACATGACAACTCCATCGAGTGGATGAACTTGTGGCGTTCTGATAGCCATTGACTGCATAGCTGTTGCTTTTCCAAAAGGTACCGTGTGACCCTGGTATTATACACTGAAGTTGCTTCTGCAAGTTCACTACTATTTTGTGGAATATCTTTTATAAATTATGGTAATGTCAGCAGGTTGTGGTTATTAAATGTTATTTTTCTTTTCCTTTCTCCCTTAGATTGTCCACCGAAGCCTCACTTTGGGGGAAATCCTGGATGGTGATCGAATGGCAGAATCAATGTACAAGATAGAATTCAAAGGTGTGTCTCATTATGAATTTATGAATGCCATACCTAATCATGGCCCTGTGGAGAACCAGCTGACTTGTTTTGAAATGACATTAGTTCCTTTTTGCGTTCAGCTTTGCACCTGGCTTCTACGTGGTAGTACTTTATATCAAGCACTGCTGGTTTTGCAAGGCACCTAACAGGAATACTGTAAATCTGAAATATCTAAGTAGGGCTCTGCTTGCACACTGCATTTATATGCAAAATAGGAAGCACCATTATGAAGTTTGTTTTAAATGGAGTAAATTTTGATTTTTAAAAGAAAGGCCAGTATCGCTGTATTAGGCAGCTAGGTTTTTACTAGCTACCTGATATATATATATATATATATATATATATATATATATATATATATATATATATATATATATAGAGAGAGAGAGAGAGAGAGAGAGAGGAGAAAACTAAAGAAAGGGAGAGGAGCGGCGGCGGCTAAGGTGTGCTGCACAATGTAAAATGTGCACCACTACGAGCACAGCGGTGCAAAATCAAAAACGACAAAAAAAAAAAGGAGGTAGAGACAAGCATCATCATTTAAATGTAATGTGATCCATCAGCCATATTTGTTTTATGCCTTTGGCATAAAAATTGTAGGAAGTAGGAAAGGAACCGTGCTTATGGACACTTTCTGATGCATACAGAGAGAATAGTAAGCGGCAGAAATAGTGCAAAGGAGATGTGACACAACTTCTGTTTGTCAGTGCTCATCCTCTGTGTTCCTTCGCTCTTGTTACGTCTTTTTCTCGCTGTTTTTCTATTGACAAAGGTTTGACCAACTAGCCCAACGAACTGCACATCTGGAAAAGAAGAGAGTGTTGACATTGGCAGCGATGCCACACCCTAATTTTTATGGTAGGAGGACTATCGAGTTTTTTCAGTGTCCTGCAATTAACAGCCAATTTGAAAAATCATTTTGGTGGTATGCTACATAGACAACGCCAGACAACTTCCTCTTGTCTCTCAGTTCAGATTTCAACTGACATTGGTTCAAACCTTAAGAACGTTACCCGTTAGTAAAATTCTGAGTTCCTAATTCTTACACATCTTATCTCTACTTTTCCCACCCCCTTAATTTGTTGGCATATTTTCGCCTGGAAAAATCGAATTTTTGGCATTAGACAGTAACACATATTATTTTAAGTACACAGCATTTCTAGTAATAAAATAACACACCATACAAAAAGACCTAAGTTTTTTTTTTTGTCACAAGGAAATGTCAGTTCTGCAGCTATTGTCACTGCCCTCTTGCCCTGCATCCTTGCATACTGTGTGCAGTGTTAGCCCACTCGGCGTTCACTTGTTAAATACTTCCCGTTACACTATTATCGGTCAAGCTACTTAGCTGACGATTTCAACTGACATTGGTTCAAACCTTAAGAACGTTACCCGTTGCTGAAATTGTTAAAACTATTTTGAGTTCCCAATTCTTAGACACACTCTCAGTCAACTCATTTAGGAGTGTCTGCCTTCAATTCCATCGAAGTAGCATACATGTGGCAAGTGAAGCAGACTGGGAAACACAAAGGAACATGATAAAGCACATCAGGAAAGTTGCTTAAAGCCACTAAAATGAAGTGCTTTGATGATGAAATAAGGGAAGTCGGACGTGGTGTCAAACAAATGTGAAAACGGTAAATGGTTTTTTTGGCAAGACCTCTGCACAAACAGAAATAACTTTGATTCACTCAGGAAACTGCATGATTCAAAACTCATGTGATATTGCCAATGCTTTTAGCGATTAATCCAGCTTTGATACACTGCAGTCGGCAGCATCCTTTGACTACACGTGTTCACAACTACCACATTCCTTTTTTAAGAGTTTTGCTCGGCCAGTAAACAACCGTGAGGAACGAAAATTGTTATAAAGTGGAATACGTGAACTTTTACTTCATGAACATGCTGTCATAAAAATTTTACGAATATGTACTATATTAAGGAAGTTACAGGGGTTAGAGTATCGGTTTCAGCTGGTTTCAAATTTTCGCACGGCCTCGCCACCCTTCTCCTTCACATAAAGGGGAAGGCATAGCCACTCGTCGTGGCTTTGCCCTTTTTGGCAACGTGACGCAAGAGCAGCAATTGACATCATTGGCGAACTCTATCAGTCGCAACACACTTCCTACAGTGCCTGGTTGTTTATTGTTTACCTGGTGCCGATGCTTCTCCACTGCCCAGTCGCTCAATTTGCAGCCAACAATGGAGCAACGCTTTTTTTTTTTCGTGTTGCTCATGTCGAGGGCGAAGTAGTTGAGCGAAGAATGTACGCATGACAACTGCGAGGCCAAAACTGTATCACCGCATTGCCAAGAAACAAGGGGAGGTTTTGTAGCAGCAGGTGGGAACAGGAACTAACGTTGACTTCACTACTGTTTGTTGAGACCTGGTTTAGACCAATCGACAAGTTGCGTGCTGCGTCGAATCGCCGATCACCGACTTTTCGTCACTGCCCGTGGAAGGAGGATTGGTCAGGCGTAGGAAATGAGCGTGCCAATTGTTTTTCAGAATGGAGGCTTTGCGCAGCTCGCAGCACTGTAATATTCAGAAAACGTGATCGTTGCGGTTTACTCTACGAATGGCCGAGCTTGTTTGAAGGGTGTAAAAAAAAAGGCCCCTTAGAGCTTAAGGGAAAACATTGGGTATCCACAAAAAACTTTTCACACCATTGCCGAAAGCTCACCGCCAACAAAGACAGTTCATGCAGCCACCGCATCGAGCTTGCCTACCACATTGGCTGAGTATGAATGACAGAAAACCCGCACTCCTATCTTTGGGTGCCACAGCCAGCTTTGCACGTTAGTTATAGTGCTTTAGTTTGGACATTTTCGCATGGTCTACGAGAGGCTGTGGTTCGACTCTACATTGTCTACACCCAGGAAAAACCTAGTATCAGCCAAGAAAACCATGCTAAGACCCAAAAATCAACCAGCTTTTTTTTTATCCAAGTTTACCTGAAGGAGTTTTTACTGTTTTCAGTAGTACTAAGAATTCAAGCGCTGGTCCTGACGAGTTCTGTGCTGCCTACTATAAACTGGGGGCTCATTTAATCTCCAATGTATTGACACATTGTGATTTTTAATTTGTTACTAGATTCTTCCCAACAGTGGTGGAAAAAAAAAACCTAGAAATATTCCTACTTTTTAGGAGTATGATGAACATTAAATTGCTAATTAGTACTGGCACATAGCAATTCTTTTATTTTTCAACAAAGCCTTATGAAAACTTTTCATGGGATGTTCGATAAATTACCAAGATAAGTTTTCCGTTCATTCTGGCAATGATTGATGATTTGATGATTGATATGTGTGGTTTAACATCCCAAAACTATCATATGATTATGAGAGAAGCCGTAGTGGATGGCTCCGGAAATTTCAACCACCAGGGGTTTTTTAACGTGTGCTGTTAAGTTTGGCCTGGAAATTCGTCTGAGCAGACGTCTTTGTGCGTAAGCCGATCCACTGGTGAGGCTCTCAATCCCTTCGGCGCCCAGTCTGACAGACGCCGTCGAAGATTTGAGCAATTATCCAGACCAAGCAGCAAGCAAAGCCGAGTTCCCGTCCTTCAAATGCGAACCCTTTTCTCCTCCCTTCAAGCAGAAGCGGTGACTAATGGACTCGGCGACTCATCGGGCAACGGGAAAGCTGGCGTGACCAGCGACAGAGTTGACGGCGGAGCGGCACTTCTTTAATCCTCAGTAGCCGATCGGCCGACTGCCTATGCCCGCCAGGCATTGTCCCTGCTGGCCTGAGGAGGAGACGTCGTGGCGCCGCGACGCCACGACGAAAGAGGGCAACAGGGACGGCGTCTTCCTGAAAGAGACCGCGACGGACACCGCAGATCGCCCCGCTAATTGGGCGAGCTGTGCGGTGGACCCTTTGAAGTATGCGGCCAGGATCGTGGAAACTCTCGACAAACGGCACACACACGACGAGGAAGAGCCCTGCTGGCGCCACCACAGTGCAGTGTTCACGTGGACCGGGCATGCTCGCCCCCCTCACCTGTGTGTGCGTGATTGGTGTTCGACTCGGAGAGGAGGAGCCCGACAGGGCATAAAACGACGCCGCAGAGTGCTGGACGTCGCTCTGAACTATGTAACGTTCAACCACCACGCTCGTGGTTTGTGAAACCACTATCCCTTCTTTTCTGTAAATATGTGTAAATAATGTCATAAACCCATGTTTCTGTTTTCCGTATCCTCTTGTCAGCGTTCATATCCTCCAGCGACCTTCCTTCCTTTCAACATCTCTTACAACTGGTGGCAGCGGTGGGATGCCATCATCAGCAACTTCTTCCTTCAACATCTTACAGTGCCCAAATGTGAGCACACAGGCCTACAGCATTTTCGCCTCCATCTAAACTGCAGCCGCTGCAGCCGGGATTCGATCCCACGACCTGCAGGTCAGCAGCACGTCAGCAGCACCTTAGCCACTAGACCATCATGGCGGGTTCTGGCAACGTATTCACTTTCAGACTGGGATACTCAACTGAACCAACTCTAATACGACTTGCAGATGAAATTAAATCAGCTATTGATATTCTTAGTGTTGTTTGGGGCATTTTTATTTTAATTGATTTTATCTCACATGACATTGCATTTGAGAAACGAGTTGATCGATGTACTTGGACTCTCGTTAAAACTAATCGAAGTTATCTGCATGATCACAAGTAGTTATTATATGTGTCCAGTACCTATTCTGATTCCAGAACCATCAACATGAGCTTTCAGTAGGAATTCATTTTGAGCCTGTTTTTATTTTTAATTTACATCAATGATCGTCCGCAAAGTCTATTAGACCTGTCCTGCATGCTCTATGCAGATGATACTATACTAACTACAGATAAAGAGGTTGACTTGATGTTTAAACTAAATACCTGCTTGATGAATATTGTTAACTGGTTCAACAATGATAACCACAAAAAAATCTAGCCTTGTATATTCGTCAACGAATTTTTTTTTTTTTTTTGTATAGATGAGTGATACTCGAATTTGCACCGCTACTTCTAGCACAGTGTTCCTTGGGGTCGAACTTGATGAGCATCTAAACCTTAATTCTCACGTTTTTCTGTTTACATGGAAAGCAGCATATGCCATTCGAATCTTGCCAAAAGTTTGCCCTTTCTTTCATTTCAAAACATTGTTGTCATTCTACCTACACTTCCTTTCACAGCAATACAATGTACTGCATTTTATCACAAGGAAACATGTATGTCACTTATTTATCCACCATTCATCATCTTCAGAATCTGGCGGTGACATTAATAGCCTTTATTAGCTTGATGTCAAATTCGATCCTTGCTATGCTTACATGGCATTTTATTGGTTCAAAAACTAAACTTATTTTCTTCACATTCTCATTTACAAATATGTCAATGGGAAGCTCCCCATTCCCTTACTGTGGACAAGCCAGTTTCACTATATATCATCGTGTTTTGTAACATCTAACAGCTTTATGTTACCGAAACCCAAGACTAATCATGGCAAGTTTACTGCAAAATTTTCATTCGTGTCCTTGTGAAGTTCCTTGCCTCGGGATATAAAAATTTGACATTTTGAAATGTTTTAAAAAATGTTTGCATTTACACTTGTTAGAGCCTTATATTTGTTACATTATTCATGGTAACCGCTTTTGCATTTCAGCATATATGTTGTGTTTTGCTCATTTGTACATTTTCTATAGCTTATTTTTAAATCTTTGCCACTGTTTACCGTAGCATTTTTCTTCAATGTATTATTTTATAGAAATGCTCACTCACTCACAGCCTCTTGACCCTGAGACCTCCTTTTGTATCTGTATATCTCACGTACGATGTATCACGTCTACTTCAAATACTAACTGAATCTTGAAATCTTGTCTGAAAAACATTAGCAAGAGGACCGTATGATGACAGGCTGTTCACCGGCACCTACAGCATGCATGTGCCTCAACCTAAATGGCAGCAGATGCATTGACGATAGTCTCCAGACATTGAACCTCACATGGTTGCATTGGAAGTTGCTGGTTTCAAATGAGCACTTACTCGCGGGTAATAGTATTGATATGCATTTTGTAAGCATAACTTCACTGCCATGTAGTCGTCATCCTGTGTTCAGGCTACTGCTTTCTTTGAATTATTTATTTGCACACAAGTCCTGTGTACAACATGTTAACACGAATTTACTACTGAAGCATGTCACCATGCTTCACTTTTCTGGAAGTATGGAGAAAGCAGATTATTATTATTATTATTATTATTATTATTATTATTATTATTATTATTATTATTATTATTATTATTATTATTATTATTATTATTATCTGGAGTAAAATGTTGGGCATTTTCTTTTTGGCTGCACTTACATGGAAGTGAATGCAATGCCTCTTGCAGTAAATGTGGAGAAGAAGGTGCTCTGCACGGTGAACCTGTCAGCCGAGGACTTCAAGAAGCTGAAGGAAGCCATTGAAGATCTCTACTATTTTGAGTTTGTTCTAGGTATGTTGATCAATGCACGCTGTTATGTATTTTAGCACATGATGCACAGCACTGAGTTTGTAAGGCGCCAACAGACCAAGCATATACATGTTGAAATATCAACGATGTACAATAACCACCGACATCCAACTGTTCGTTTCCAGAACTGTGAATAAATGTCACCCCTCCCCTCCCCCCCCTTTTTTTTTCATTTAGATATACGAACTTATGTAATGCACACTTGAAAAAAGGTAATTCAAGATTTATTTTTGCTACTGGTGAGTGTTATGTAAATAGTTAACTTCAGTAGTGCATATAAATTGATGGGATATTGTTGGGTGTACCCTTTTAGCTTAGAATTACCCTTGTTTTGGCAGTATTGTTTTTGAATGTACAAATCAGGACACATAAAATGCATCTCTGTGGGATAAAAACAATGTTGGGCTCTGATCTTGCTCAGTAGTTTTCTCTCTCTCTCTCTCTCTCTCTCTCTCTCTCTCTCCTCTCTCCTCTCTCTCTCTCTCTCTCTCTCTCTCTCTCTCTCTCTCTTTCTCTCTCTCTCTCTCTCTCTCTTTTACAGCCACTTCAGCGATATCAGCATCATATGTATTGTTTTGCGTTCTTCTTTGCATGTTTCAGATGGCCTGAGACTATGGGGCTTCATTGGGCAGCTGGAAGAAGGCTCCTTGATCCCACACAAGCACAAACTGTATCTATGGACGCACCTCACCTTCAACATTGAGTACAATGGAAAAGAGGTAAAGAGAATTCAGTAGCAGTGATTTTAAGATGAGTGATTGATTGATTGGTTGATTTATTGATTTATTTATTGATTGATAATGTCATTGGGAGAGTAATTTCACTGGTGTCTACTGCTTTTATGGAGTAGCTCCTTCGGAGAAGTGTTTGAGACCACAGAACCCAATCAAAGCCTAGCTCTAATCTGTTGTGAATGTTCATAAAATATTCCACAAGTTCTTCTGGTGAAATGCAAGAAAGATTGCTACAGGCATCTATTAACTTCAGCCATAATTAAAGTCTGCTGCTTTATAGTGTTATGATTCATAACGAGTGCAAATTTTTTTTAGATTAACATCTTCTCATGGCTGTCTGAAAATGGGTGATTCAAGGAAAATATCGTGTTTTTAGTGCATTCCCAGCCCCAAGGACAGTCTAGACAAGCTGCATGGCTTTTGGGGTTGTGTATTGGTTTCATTAGTTGAATTCGATCTGTTGAATTTTGTATATTAGGAATATAAAGTTTTTTACTGGCACTAAATTATAGGTGTTAGCCAGTGTCGCGGAGGACCTGGGACCTTTGGTTTTGATAGAATTTACTGTAAAATAAAAATTGGCCAGAATAAAAGTAATTAATATAGTAACACATTAGTTAGTCTGTTCGATCCTTGAATCCATGTAAGCTCAACTCAAAAAGCATTAATAGTTCAAGTACTATGTTGAAACTGTGAGAAATGTTTTCTTGTCTTTCATTGTTTCTTTTCTTCTTTAGTTTAAGTTTGTGTAATATACTCAAATGGCCTTTCTCAGTAGGGTTATGTGTCTTGAATAGCTTAATGTTTCATTGCAATGTGCATTGTATTATTCCTTACTGATTAATCAGTTGTTTTCACCCTGTTGTAATGCCTAACAGGGCATTTAAGGCATTTAAACAAAACATAAAACCATATATTTGAGAAATAGCCCAGACTAGTATGACTTCAGTTTCAGTTTCATCATTACCACCTGTGGCACTTCTGTTGTGTAAAGTCGGCGACATCATTGCTTCTTTCACTTTTGTACAATTGAAGTAACGCATTGCTTTCATGCCTCTTCACTGTTTTCCATGCTATGTGGTTTCATGTTTTTACGGGTACACATCCTTTGTAGGCTTATATATACTCAAAGCTAGGATGCAACCTGAAAGGTTCACAAAGGCTTTTTTTTACTTGATTGTGATTGGTATAAGGCACAGTGCAATTATTGTGAATTGATGGGGTAGTAATAGTTTTCTGTCGTCATTTTCTTTAGTGCAGATTATTTTGACCGAGAGGGTGTGTATGAGGGAGGGATGGGTACACACGTGCTTGAGTGAATGTACTTGACACCCTGTGGAGGTGCTCTTTGAGACACTCTGTGAACATTAGTAGTGTGCACAACTACTTTTGCTAGCTGTGTCAACTAGTGCATAACAAAGAGTAAGATACAGTGAGGTTTGAATGAATTGAACCTGCTGCTTAAGAAATGTGTCTTTATTTAAGTTAATCTTGTAGTGTATCATTCCGTTTATACTTGCATAGTTGAAGGCACCAGCATTTTCGATGAGTCCCCCCTCCGCGAGCCACGTTGAAAGTATAATTAATGTTTGCTGAAAATGAATATAGCCTAAAATAAAATCACGCTACTTTTCCAGCCTGAGATTTAATTCTACAAGGTCCGTATGGAGGCATCAGAAGCAGCTTCTTCCTGATGTGATGGCACACTTGCAACAGCCATGTTTTGGGGTGGGAAATGTGAACTTCAAGAGGCGCCAAGTGCCAGTCACCTGCAAACGTTGGTTGCAGCTAAAATTGTTTTTTAGTGGACCCCTGAGTGACTTGGTGCAAGTGCATAATGCTGCAAACGAGTGAATTATGGTACAGTGTCCAATTTTATGAAAGGGAACACGCGAGCGCGTGGCTTTCGCTCTGGCATGGCTGCCTGCAACACCCTCTGCTGACACCACTTTTGGTGGCATCGTACATTGCGAGACTGGATTGGGAGTGCAATCTAGCAGCGTTTCTCAAACGGCCATAACTACTTTTCTCTGCTTACAGATGACGTGAAAAGCAGACACACTTTCTTTATCTGTTGGTTGATGGTGCTGTGGATAGCCACAGCAGTGCGCAGGCCACACGCTCGCATTTTCCTCTTCATAAAAAAAGGACAGTGTACAATCGAACGTAAATTTTTGTGTTGCCTGGCAATGAACGATACCATGATGATTCGACCAACCCCTCATAGCCTCAAGATTACACTAGCTGACTATTTTCTGTTTTTCAAAAGCAAAATCCTTACCTAAAGGATATTCACCATTGAGCCTAAGGTGCCGTCATGGAAGCTTGTACGTGTGCCCTTGAAGAACCTCCTGAAATCTAGGTATCTGGTGAAGGGGAGAGGGAGGCCTTTCAGTTTTGAAAAAGTTGTTTGCAAAAATGCGTTGATTCTTCAACTATTTTTGAGGCACTATAGCAATATCTCTAATAAAGCTATTTTTTATAAATAATTCTTATACAAACCCTTTATATGCATAAATAGAACATAAATGACTGTAAGGTAATCACATAATTAATTGAAATTTAATGAATATATTTCAAAACATATGAATCAGCATATTATGACATTCTTTTTGTTAAAGTAGAATATCGAATTCCTTAGAATAACGTGTAAATCTAACATATTTACGAACAGGTTTATAACAGTTGTTGTCCACAGAATCACCTGAGCACTTGGGAGGATGGAATATTGCACTTCACAGTTATAAGTAACATTTCTATATATACTGCAAGCAAGAACCACTGCCACATGTCTTTTTTTTTTCTTTTTTTTTCATCTTTTTGCTGTATCTGGCCTCTGTAACCCAGGGAGCAGCGATCAAGCATCTATCTCGCCTTTGTGCAGGTGATATCGGCTAATGTGACAGTGACGGACGGTGTGCCCTTGCTCCTGGATGAGATGGCAGCTCCGCTGGACATCACCCACACGTACTCCGTGCGCTGGCTGCCCACAAACGTCACCGAGCGCGCCCCCCTCGGACTCTCCAAGGACGGACCTCGTGCGTTTTTCTTCCCGCAGACATTGGAGGTGAGTGGAAGCGTGCCGAAGGCATGCTCTGTGTTATGTCCGGTGTTGTCGTCGGCCCATAGACGTACGCGTAGGTCACAGTAGTCCAAAAAGCTCAAAAGCTCAGACAGCCTCGAACGGTTAAAAACAAGTTTATTCCTATTCGGATGGAGGCGGCGGCCGAACTGCCGGGGGAAACGAACGGTGGCTCGTTTGCGCCGAGCAGGGGAAGGGGAGGAGTCAACATCTGGAAGCAGTTTCAGCAACCGGTTCTTCGCGGGTTCGGAGGCTCGCTCGTGACACAGGGGTGCTTGGAACACAACATCTCCTCCCTCCCTAGATTGTCGCTTGGAAGCGATCTGGGGGCCGCCGTGGACGCTCTGGACGCACTAGGAAGAGAAGCCTCCGCTCGCTGGGTGTCGTTTCTCTTGTGTTCAGGGCGGGCGGGCGGCGGCGCCGATTCATCTGGTGCGAGATGCCAAGCTAAGTGGAACGAAGCTTCCGTCGAGGTGGCTGCTTGAATGGGAGGTTCCCTTGGCAAATTACCTGAACGGCGTAGCTGATTAAGGTGGCGGCGTGTGGCCTTTCCACCAATGTCGACGAGCCATGACCGCAAACGTATGCATTTGAGTGCCGTTGCTTCAACCCAGCCGGGCTTTCTGTGGAACTGGCGGGCGTATATGCGCTGTCCAATTTTAATTCTCCTGCTATGCGGGAGCTTTTCTTCCTCCGCCTCCGACGGTGCTTTCGCTGAGGGCTCCGGGACAATTGCTGTCAGCTGGGTTCTCATTTCTCGTCTGAACATCAATTTCGCTGGCGTTTGATCAGTAGTGCTTTGAACAGTGTTGTGCTGTCTGAAGAGAAAGCGCGCAATGCGGCGTTGCATTGTCCCAGTCTGGTCTTTAATAAGGGCGCGCTTTAGCTCAGCCACGTAGCGCTCGGCTTGTCCGTTCGTAGCCGGGTGGTAAGGAGCTGATGTAACAGACGAGACGCCGTTGTCGCTGTAAAACTTGAGAATTTCCGTGGACATAAACGGAGTGTCGTTGTCCGAGACCACCTTGCGCGGTATTCCAAACGTTGCAAACAACGACCGCAGAGTGTCGATAACTGCTGCCGATGTCGTTCTAGCCATTTGTTTTACCTCCAGCCACTTTGTGTATGCGTCTACAACCACCAACAACTACCAGGAACGAACACCCTTCGATAGGTCCAGCAAAATCAATGTGCAGGGTGTGCCAAGGCGTGTCTGGTCTTTCCCATTCAGGAATAGGGGCTCTTGGCGGGCTTCTGTGGTTGCATTGACAAGGCTGGCAATCGTGAACTGTTAATTCTATATCATGGTCGATACCAGGCCACCACATATAACTTCTGGCGCACTTTTCCATGGCAACAATGCCTCGATGACCTGCGTGGACAAGCGACATGGCCTGTTCGCGAAGTGCCGCTGGAAAACAACTCTTGATCCCAAGGTGACGCAACCGCGATGAGTGCTCAACTCCGCAGCTCGCTTGCGGTAAGCGTTGAAGTGTTCACCCTTTAGCTTCTGCACGTTGCCCTTGTATAGCTGTGTAGACTTCCTTCAAGACAGTGCACTCCTGCGTTGATGCTGCTACCGTGTCAGCTGTTAGCGGAGGGTTCGGCAGCGCCTCGAACATGACTATATCACCCGGCGGAGGTGGTTCATCTATTGTGGTGTCCAGCGGCAGGCGGCTTAGTGCGTCGGCGTTCTGGTGTTTCTTCCCAGTGCGATGTACGAGTTCGTAATCGTACACCGACATCTTGATGCACCATCGTGTCATTCGTGGCGACAATGTCTGTGGCATTGGCTTCTGGGGACCTATAATACCCAATAAGGGCCGGTGATCTGTTATGAAAGTCACTTTCCTGCCGGTAATGTACTGCCGAAAGTGATCTGCTGCGTAGATGATGGCAAGTCTCTCTTTATCTAGCTGGGAATAATTCCTCTCTGCCTGCGATAGGGTGCGCGAAGCAAAAGCGATCGGGGCTTCCCGTCCCTGGTCGTCAACTTGGGAGAGGACTGCTCCCACTCCGTATGGTGATGCGTCACAGGCTAGCAGTAGGGGTCTCCTTTCGTCGTAGTGTCGCAGAACACTAGACTTGCGAAGTAGTTGCTTAAAGGCAACAAATGACTCTTGGTGGCGTGGCGACCAAGTCCATGGGACTTCTTTTTGCAGGAGCTGATATAGATCGTTGGCCACTGTAGCTCGATGTTCTAAGAACCGGTCATAGAACGTCAATAGCCCCAAAAACGACTGCAGTTCTTGCTTGTTAGTAGGCGCTCGTGCTTCGGTGATTGCACGCACTTTGTCTTTAGTGGGATGGATACCCTGCGTGTCAATTTGATGTCCAAGAAACTTCACTTCAGGCACCGCAAAAACACATTTTTCTTTACTGATGCGCAAATTAGCATTTGCTAGCCTTTCCAAAATGAGCTCCAAGCGTTCTGTGTGCTCTTCATTGGAGGCGCCACCGACAATAACATCGTCCAAGTAGACGCAAACACCCGGGATCCCACTAAATGTAGACTCCATAAATTTCTGGAAGATTACTGGCACTGCAGATATTCCGAATGGTAGCCTTTTAACTTTGTAAAGACCCTTAATAGTGTTTATCGTGAGCAGTTCAGACGTTGATTCGCTCACCTTCAGCTGCTGGTAGGCTTGTGTCAAGTCCAAGGTGCTGAAGATTTTTCCACCCCGAAGCCTGCTAAAAACCTCTTCCGGTGTCGGCAGTGGGTAGGAAGATGCTTTTGTCGCCAGGTTGACAGTGCTCCGGTAGTCTCCGCAGAGGCGTAGGGTACCGTTCTTCTTTCGGACGACAACGAGTGGTGTAGCCCATTCCGAATGTTGCATCGGTTCGATGATCCCTCGTTCCTACAGTCGGTCAAGCTCATTCTCGACTGACGTTTGTAGGGTGAAAGGCACTGACCTAGCTTTCAAAAATTTCGGCGTCGCATCCTCCCGCAGCTCCAGTGTGACTGGAAGTCCGTTGTTCCCTGGTATTTCTTCGGAGAAAACAGCTTTGTACTTATCTTGAAGCTGCTCCACTGACGGATAACTGGGTGTGTGGTGAACTCCGCCAATGACCACTCCAAGGGGGGTGAACCAATTTCGTCCTAAAAGGCTTGATCCAGAACCGTGGACGACTAGCAAGGGGAGCTGATGGGTCTGCCCGTTGTAGTGCACGTCTACGTTGGCACAGCCCAGCAGTGGAAGGGAATGTCCGGACCACGTTCTCAGCTGCGTGTCGTCTTGCTGGAGATCTGGCGCGTTCTGACGCCAAGTAGCGCGAAAAGTGTCCTCGCTGATGAGCGTACATGCTGCTCCGGAATCCACCTCAAACCTGATAGGGCGCTGGTGTACCATAATTTCAGTTGTAATCTTCGGTCTCGTTCCGAGGTTCACAACGGCGTTTAAGTCATATAGTGCCGATGAGTTAGTGCTGTTCGGCTTGTATCTTGCGTCTGGCCTGTTATGCCTGCGGGTCCGCAGCGAACGTCCATGCCTCGGAAAAAGGAAATCTGTGTCAAGGCCAGCCCGCGAGCCCGCCTGACACGAACAACTCAACGGCGTCAACACGCGGCGGCGCCTTTCTGGCGCGCACGTGCAGTGAGTCAGCTCAGCCCGCGAGCCCGTCGAGTAAACAACCGGCGTCTTCCTGTCTGGGGGGGTGACGCAATGCCTGGCGACGTCACTCGTCCTTGGGTGCAGCCACCTGCAGCGCAGCCTCTCCAGATTCGATGAGAAAGAAGGACACGGCCCAGCGGCGACCCCATTGGAGGAGTCTGACCTCACGACCAGCGGCGCTTCTGGTTGGACATTTGGGTTGGACCCGGTGCATATAAAAGAAGCCCTGCGGCGCGTCGAGAGCAGACCCCTTTGACAGCAGACCCATTTGAGAGTAGAGCTATGTGTTAGAGAGAAGAGCTTGGCTCTTCGCGTCTCTGTCGGCCCCAGTGCCGAATTTGTAACACCTCTGTATATATTCTGTACATAAACCTTGTTTAACTCACCGTCGTCTCGTCCGCTCGTCTATCAGCTCAGCGCAGAAGCAGTCGCGAGCTGAGAAACCTACGCTGCCAAACGGCTGGTGACCTTCCCTTCGGAGTTCGAAGCAGTGGCGCCTTCGGGACCGTGTTGGCGTCGCCGTCTTTCGAAACAGTGGTTGCAGCAGTGAGATTTCGAGGCGCCCTTCGTAACGTCGTCGGAGACGCGCTTGGCCCTCCTGTGCGTCGACATTGTTGTTCCGTTGCACTGAAGTCTTCGGTCCGAGCTGTTTGCGCTTCGAGATGCATGCCTTTTCAATGTGTCCAAGTTTTTGGCAAAAATTGCAGGTCGCTGTCTTGTATCGACATACCTGGGGATCGTGCATGTCGTTGCATTGCCAACAGCGCTGTGTCTTTCTGCTTGATTTCGCCTTAGACGTGGAATGACCTGACTGCTGACTGGTGTGATGCACCGGCTCGACGTTCCGTCGAATATCCCTCTGCTGGTGACCGGCGCTCTCCGCTCGTTGGGCGATGTCGTAGGCTTTGGAGAAGGTGAGACCCGTCTCCGCGAACAGGCGTTGTTGTAGGCCTGCGTCACGCAGTCCACACGCAAAACGGTCACGCAACATAACGTCCAAGGGGAGCATAGTGGTGTTAGCCGGTGTGGCAGTCGATCCTCCCTCCTGCGCAGTAGCTGCAGTTGTCGTGGTCAACGTCCCGAAATTGCAGTCATCAGCGAGCTTTTTGAGAGCCGCTACGTATTTGGCCACTTTTTCGCCTTCCAGTTGGTCTCGCCGTTGGAAGCGGGCTCGACAGTAGACCTCCGATGGCCTTGGGTCATAGTGCTCTTGTAGCGCTGCTACGATGTCGTCGTAGTCAACGGCTGCTAGAGTGCGTGGCTGAATCAGGGCACAGACTGTGTCGTATGTCTGCTCCCCACACAGCGTTAACAGGTTGGCCCTCTTTATTGCTGCATCAGTGATGTTGTTAGCCTCGAAGTAAAATTGCAGGC